TTTTATCTCCATATGTTTATGATATAACGTCCATTGATTAATTAAATTACTGACAAAGTAATTAATCAGCTTCTTATTCATTTCTGAAACTAGTACCACTAAGATCCTTAACCATTATGTCAGATACACATCCGTCTGTAGGGCTTGACATAATATTCCTTACTGGACTCATTTCAGGGACGTCATCAACCCAACACACTAGGATACAGGGACAATAAATAATTTATAACAGCATATCATAGAAACACTTCCATTTACCAAAATACCAGTATGTCATCCTAACATAATAAGAATCACCCTTGATAAATCAAATAAACAAATAATGAATATATATGCCCGTTTTATATTATTTTACAGCTTAAGAATACGCATAAATTACTGAATGTCTAGATTATAACTGCGATCAGTATATCTTATAGTCTTATCCTTCAGCTGTCATGTTCAATACTTGACATAAGTACTAGTGTAACCCTTCAGTCAAAGACCAACTGAATCCAGACTTACAGCACAGTCTTTTTCCAAGAGGGGTCTCAATGTCTGTCTAGATTGTGAACAAATAACTTAGTCTTACAAGGAACCGATATATAGATGATCTTTCTGTTCGAGACACCGCGAACCATACTATCTCAGTGTAAGATAAGGAGTATGATTGCATAAATAAATAAACTGCATACATGTGTTCTTTGATTAAAACTTGATTGCATCAAAATAGAATTGCTAGAATCTGAAAGCCAATCTTTTACAGCATACCTAACAATGGCCATTCGATGTGTAGGTTACCCTGACCCCCTCTCCTCGCAGATTTTTAGATCGATATTCTCGATGTCGAAGTTGTGGCTGGCGACGATATCCAAGTGCAACAATGTGTCAATCATCATCGTCGGCTCCCTGAACGTTGTTCTCGACCACCGGTCAGATGGAATGATAGGTATCCTGGAGGAACTCGTATAAGAAATGCGCTGCCAGTACTAGAACAATGTGTACCGTTTGAAAATCTTGTCTTTGGACGGGCAGATGTGGAGGCAGCCTCTTGCGGAGCTGTCATCCCTTATCGATCGATGCCAAGATAAGACAAAAAGGAAAAAGAAGAAAAAAAAAAACATGTACATAAAAATGGACTATATACTATGCAAAGCCATTAAAAACACTCGAATACTATCAAGCCAATAAACAATGTTAAACCGACAACGAAACACACTCAGAGCCAAGCCGAAACAAGTACATTCCTACCTAAATAATTCAAAACGGCACCCTTGCGATAGAAAGAGATGCGAATACCGCACCCGACCCGATATATCTCCTCCATAAGGCAAATATATCTTGAACAGTTGAACCACAATTTCCAAAATCTGTCCCTACTAACCCTACTCCCAAAAATCTCGCACTTTTACACTCATCCAGCACCGTCGTCGTCTTCCAGCTCCGCCATGGCAGGAGAATCGGAGAGCTTCTCAACCGTTGCTGAGGCCACCGCCAAGTATGGGTTTGAGCGATCTGAGATGTACCAGAGCAGCCTCACTGGGACCGTTGACCCGTACGAGCGCCACGTATTCCTCTGCTACAAGTCTCACGAAGACTGGCCTGCACGCGTCGAGAATTCCGATTCCGATCCTCTCCCTAAGCTCCTAGCTTCCTCTATGAAAGCTCGTAAAAACGATATCAGCCTCAAGGTCTGTGCTAATAGGCATGTTTGGCTGTGCACATAGATCGCATTATTTTTTTTTATCTTTACGCTTAGTTCGTATTATCATAATCAGCAACCTGAATAGTGTTCTTTTTCTTATTTCTATATGCATATTCTACATTTCCTTATGAACTTGTCCAGGGGCTAAGTATCACCTTATATTGGGCTTTTTTCACTAATTTCTGTAACACATGTACCCTCGTATACATATTTCTATTTGTTTTATTCTATGTATTCTATGAAATATGATATAAATCCTGTACTTTAGTGCAAATGTTCGGTGTGTTGATGCTTTTCATTAGTAGTTGAGAAAAATTGTTTCTGGAATCGCTATGTATAAGTATTGTGCATTTGGATTTGTCTTCTTATGTTTAGGGTTCTTATATACGGTGGATTGGTTTGGCTGTTGTTCTTTGGTTGGTGTTATGTTTCGATTAGTTTTGACTTGGTTATCTGGCCATTGTTTTATTTGCAGAGTTCATTAAGATTTCAATTTAGTGAAGCATTATAATGTTCCTGATTTTCTATTTATTGTTTGTCTCACAGTGAGGATAGAGCTGATGTGTATATTTTAGTTAACATTGTTTGGTTTGTTTATCTTCTTCTTATGTGGCTCATTTAGGTGTATTTAGGATATTAATTTCAGAAATGTATTTGAATTTTGGTGAACTTGTCTCCATGTTTTGAATCCTGGAATTTTGTAGACTCGCTTGACTATTTGCGAGGGAGATGATCTGAAGTTCTCCGATGGAGATGTTCTGATTTTTCCTGAAATGATTGTAATCAGGTATGAATTGACTGTAATTTAGTTTCCTTCAATTAGTCTGACCAACAGAAGTACCAATTTTACCTATGCTTCAAATTATCTCACTGGGCACAATGTTTATGTTATTGTAAATTTGGTTCTTGATTGTCTAATTTCTAATTAACTCGAAACTATTTTATTATGTTTCTTACAGAGGTTTAACCGAGTCAGATGTTGATAGCTTTGTTGAGGATGTGCTCGTTAATGGGAGGCCTTGGATATCTGGAGTGCAGGAGGAGTTGACTGATTCTTTTGTGTTTGTTTGTGCTCATAACAATAGAGACCGGAGATGTGGTGTTTGTGGCCCAATTCTTATTGAGAAGTTCAAAGAAGAGATTGGGTCCAAGGATTTGAAGGGCCAGGTGTTTGTGGCAGCCTGCTCACATGTAGGAGGACACAAGTATGCTGGCAATGTGATAACTTTTTGTTCAGATCCTGATGGCAAAATTGCTGGCAATTGGTAATGTTTATGCTCTTTGTGGTGTGTTCTAATATCGAACTATTGGCATGATTTGTAAAGCTTGTTGGTTGAGCTTATAAGCTCCTTATAACGTCTTATAAGATAAAGGATCTAATAAAGGCGCTGTAATAAGAAGTTGCTGTAGCTGCTGGGGTTTCTACAATTATAAGCTCCTAAAAGCGTTTTATAAGATAAATATCTTATAAGGTTCGAGTAATAAGGAGTTGCTATATGTTTTGAGCATTTTTAATTAAACAACCACCATCATTAGTATCTTGCAAGTTCTTTATAATTCAATTACACCTATGTGCAGGTATGGGTATGTCACACCTAATGATGTTGTTGAATTGCTTGATAAACAAATTGGGAAGGGAGAAGTCATTGACCGGATCTGGAGGTTTGTGTACTCCTCGTCATGGCTTGATTTCTGAAGTTATTGTCATTGTTAAGGCTACAATCTAGTATAAAATTACTCATTCACTTTGCTGTTCTTGCCCAATATATGAAATCTATTTATTTTCTGACCCGGAAACCTGTCTTTTCAAAATAAAACTTCACTTCTATTCGTGATATAGTATTTTCACATGAAGAACTGTAAATTTCTAATGCCCTTTGTTTGGAAACACTATCTTTTTTT